CGATGGCCAAGGAGATGAAAGGCCCATGCTCTAAATGGTCATGACTTTATTATGAGTTGTGTTTATATTACTGGTTCCTGGTGCCCTCTAGATAGGTCTGTGGCATTGACCTGCTTGGAAATTCCTTGCATACTTGATGCAATCTTTTAATATACTTGACCAATAATAGTCATATCTCCTAATAAGCCAACATATCTCAATGTCAACCTAATGAGAACCATATATGCCTTTATGGCTTTCGGCCACTATGAATATGGCCTCTTCTTTCTCGATGCATCTCACAATAAGTCATCATGCATCCCCTTTTTGTACTATTCTCCATCCATAGGTATCTAGCCAATAACCCTTCGTCTCGTAGTCTTCTCTACCTCTCCATTTGGGTACTTTGGGAATTATATGATCTCAAATCTCCAGTCTCCCCTATTTTTTTGGCTCCATTGATGGCGAGAAATGACAATGTTTTTCCGACAAAATTTGTTTTGTCGCAAATTAAATAATCAAAAAATAAAATAAATTTTCTTTTGCCTGTTTTTTATTTTCGTCGCAAAAAGACATACTATTTGCGACGATTTCATAAATTCGTCGCAAATAATTATTATGTTGATATTTTTTGTGACATTTTTTGAATTCGTCGCAAAAAAATGAGAATCTCTCCCCTATTTTTTTGGCTCCATTGATGGCGGGAAATGAAAATGTTTTTCCGACAAAATTTGTTTTGTCGCAAATTAAATAATCAAAAAATAAAATAAATTTTCTTTTGCCTGTTTTTTATTTTCGTCGCAAAAAGACATACTATTTGCGACGATTTCATAAATTCGTCGCAAATAATTATTATGTTGATATTTTTTGTGACATTTTTTGAATTCGTCGCAAAAAAATGAGAATCTCTCCCCTATTTTTTTGGCTCCATTGATGGCGGGAAATGAAAATGTTTTTCCGACAAAATTTGTTTTGTCGCAAATTAAATAATCAAAAAATAAAATACAATTTCATTCGCGACGATTTCATAAATTCGTCGCAAATAATTATTATGTTGATATTTTTCGCGACGTTTTTTTAATTCGTCACAAACAAATATGAATCACTCCTGTACTTTTTTGGCGCGATTGATGGCGGGAAATGAAAATGTTTTTCCAACAAAATTTATTTTGTCACAAATTAAAAAATCAAAAAATAGAATAAAATTTCATTCACGACATTTTTATTTTCATCTCAAAAAAACATATTATCTGTGATGATTTCATAAATTTGTCACAAATAATTATTATGTTGATATTTTTCGCGACGTTTTTTTGAATTCGTCGCAAAAAAATGTGAATCAGTCCCTTACTTTTTTGGCATCGTTGATGCCGAGAAATGAAAATGTTTTTCAGAAAAAATTTATTTTGTTGCAAATTAAATAATCAAAAAATAAAATAAAATTATAATCGCGACATTTTTATTTTTGTCTCAACAAACATACTATCTGCGACGATTTCAAAAATTTGTCGCAAATAATTACTATGTTGATTTTTTTCGCGACATTTTTTACATTAATCACAAAAAAATTGAATCCCTCCCTTATTTTTTTTGGCGCGATTGATGGCGGGAAATGAAAATGTTTTTCCTACAAAAATTGTTTTGTCACAAATTAAATAATCAAAAAATAAAATAAAATTACATTCGCGACATTTATATTTTCATCGCAAAAAACATACTAGCTGCGACGATTTCATAAATTTGTCGCAAATAATTATTATGTTGATTTTTTTCACGACGTTTTTTGTGTTTGTCGACAAAAAAGTGAATCCCTCCCCTATTTGTTTTGGTGCGATTGATGGCGGGAAATGAAAATGTTTTTCCTACAAAACTTTTTTTGTTGCAAATTAAATAATCATAAAATAAAATAAAATTACATTCACAAAGTTTATATTTTTGTCCCAAAAAACATACTATCTGCGACGATTTCATAAATTTGTCACAAATAATTATTATGTTGATATTTTTCGCGATGTTTTTTTGAATTCGCCTCAAACAAATGTGAATCACACCCTTACTTTTTTGGTGCGATTGATGGTGGGAAATGAAAATGTTTTTCCGACAAAATTTAGTTTGTTGCAAATTAAATAATCACAAAAAAAAAAAAAAAAAAAATTCATTCGCAATGTTTTTATTTTGGTCGCAAAAAACATAATATCTGCGATGATTTCATAAATTTGTCACAAATAATTATTATATTGATTTTTTTCGGGACGTTTTTTGAATTCGTCGCAAAAAAATGTGAATCCCTCCCCTATTTTTTTGGCACCATTAATGGCGGGAAATGAAAATGTTTTTCCGAAAAAATTTATTTTGTCGCAAATTAAATAATCAAAAAATAAAATAAAATTACATTCGCGACGTTTTTATTTTTGTTGCAAAAAACATACTATCTGCGACGATTTCAAAAATTTGTCACAAATAATTATTATGTTGATTTTTTCGCGACGTTTTTTGAATTTGTTGCAAATAAATGTGAGTCCCTCCGCTATTATTTGGCGCGAGTGATGGCGCGAAATAAAAAAATTTTTACGAAAATTTTTTTTTTGTCTCAAATTAAATAATCATAAAATAAAATAAAATTTCATTCACGACCTTTTTATTTTTATGAAAAAAAAATTTTGTCTCAAAAGTAAATAATGAAAAAATTAAAATAAAATAAGTAATTAGCAACATTTTTATTTTCATCAGAGAGTATAAATTACAACTACATTTAAAGTTAAAATAAAATAAAAATATAAAGTTGCGACATTTTTATGTTCGTCGCAGAATATAATTTTTAAAAAATTAAAAACGATGTCGTTTTGGACATTTAAAAAAAAAAAAAAAACCTTCCTACCTAAATCGAGAACCATTGCCCATCCTTTTTTCCCTCATTCTCACTTTCCTCATCTCTCCCTCTTTGTTTATTTCAGTCGACACACAGTATTGTTTGTCTTTCTCTCTCTCTTACTCACTTTTCTCTCTGTCCCCTCCCCCTACGAACTGGAGTGTTTCCTGCCCTCCCTCTCAAACCAGATCATTTCCTCCCCTCCCATTGATATGGAAAGATCCCATTGAGGAATTAGTCGGTGAGTTTTTGCATCTCAACATTAAAGTGCAGACTCTGTATGCTTCTTGGGAGTCTCATATTTTATGTTTTTTTAAACTTATTAAATATTTCTAATGACTTGGTTAAGTTCTTGGGATTACTGGTTTTGGGTGTCTAATTTCTTGTTCTTGAACTATTACTCTATAGACTTGAATAATTGTTGTCTTGAGTGTCATTTTGGTATATGTCGGTAGAAAAAGTACGGGGTTTTCCCTTAATTTTATTTTTTTCTTCTTTTTTTTTCACTTTTTTGTTTGCAAATTGAGTCAATCCCAATTGGAAATTTGGCAGAGGTATTGGACAACCTGTGGGAGGAAGAATTCTGGGTGGGACAGGTTTTGGTGATTTTCTATACCTTTTGTATTCAATATACATAAACATGGCTTAATGTGAAAAAAGGGAAAAAAGTAATGTTGCTCAGTGAAAATATTTTTAGGGAAAATATTTTTCGTCGCAGAATATTAATTTTAGTTATTAAAGTAAAAATAAAACAAAAATATTAATTCACAACGTTTTTTATATGTTTGTCGGGAATATTTATTGTGATAATATTTTTTAGCGACGTTTTTCTAATTTCGTCGCAGAATATAAATTTTATTTTTGTATTAAATAAAATTATTATTTCACGATATTTTTAGATTTGTCACATAATTTAAATTTTGTAATTTTAAATCAAAATTAAAAATTTAATTGCAACTTTATTTTTTTGTCGCAGAATGTATTTTTTAAAAAACAAAACAATCAAAACGACATCGTTTTGGGCCCTAAACATATTCCTTTATACCCAAAATGACATCGTTTTGAGTATTTAAGTGCATCAAACCCATTTCACTTAATTCCCTACCCCAAAAATTCCTTTTTCCCCAAATTCCCTTCTCAGCGGCACTCTCTCTCTCTCTCTACACCTCCTTGCCTTCTCTCTCTTCTCACTCTTTCTACCACATAGATCGATTTCTACTATGCTACATTGAGATCGACTTAGAAGCATCTCTGCTTACTTCCCTTTTTTGAGCATCACTCGTTGTTGGAATCGCTATATATATGAGTATGTATGCTGATTCCGCAGAGATTGTTAGAGCAACTCCACGAGGCTATCTAAATGGGTCTTTTTAGCTATTTTAGATAGCCGGTGCAGAAATATCGGCTCCAACAGGCTAGATATCCGACTAGGTATTTCCCATAGCTTGCTATTTGCTCGTTGCTTTCAGCAACCTCCTCTGGCTAGCTACTTCATCAACAAATGCCATTTTTTGCACCAAAATCCTCACTTCACAGAATATCTTGTGGTTTTAAAGGTGAAACAGCCTCACAGTTATCAACCGATTGATAATCATCCTAGTATTGCATTCAAAGATTAAAGTACTTGTTCTAAACTTAAATCCCGATGAACCACTTGCATTTTGATTGCAAGTATAGAATTAGTTTATCAGTGGCGGGGAAAGGTAAGATTTCTGTTTTACCAGGAAACAACCATCAATTTTTTTTTAAGTGGTTTGAAAATAAGTTTTATGCTTGTACATTCTTGGCTGCAGATACAAACTGATTCTGAGGAGTTGCTTATAATGAAGACCAGGGAATCCCTTTTGGAAGCTCTGATCGAGCATGTTAAGGCAAATCAAGAAGATGAGTAAGCTCTGCAATACTTCTCATGCTTTAGTGCTTGATGTTACTTTCTCCAGATTTCATCAAAAATGAAAATTCCAGCAAGAACATAAAGAGGATAGACTTTGATAATTCCCAGTACTGGGTAAACCAGTATATTAGTGACTGATTACCAAATCCTCAATCATCCAAGAGGATTCTAATTTCATATGAAGAATTTGTGGACCTTGATGTTGATGGTCACCAACATCCCACCTGTTTACTTGACTTCACTATTGATAGATAAATACTACAAAAAATATTGACCTATAAGGGAAGTTTTGTTCTTACCCATTAGTTTGCTTTCTGTTTTCTTCAAGGTCCTGAAGTGATTGCCATGCCCATAATTGGTGGCAGCCTCCAGTACCTGGAATGGGTTAAAAATAGGACTAGGGACTGAACTCCTCTCAAGTGTAGGAAGCAGTGGAGTACCAGAAACCGTGAAGAATATACATTCCTGTTCATTGTACATCTCTCTCTCTCTTTGAGCACAGACTGCCCTGTACATCTTTACTTCACCGATGACATTCTATATCAAAAATTAATAAATTTCTACTCTGAATGCATAGGTTCACCAAGGAAGAATTTCTGAGAATGAATCTAGGCGATACTTTCAAAGACTTATGGATGCAGTCTCACATTGTCACAGTAAGGGTGTGTACCACAGAGATTTAAAGGTGCAGGGTGATTGTTGATATCAGAGTTCATATTAGTGAGCAGTTTACATATATAATATAATGTTTTGATCATAATTGGTTGTTTTTTATTTTCCTTGTAATCTTTAGCCTGAAAATCTTCTTATTGATTCCTGAAGGGGTTAAACCTCATGATTACATGTGACATGACATTAAATGTGCTCACGTGATGTTGACAAGACAAGGCACGTGATGAAGAATTCTCTATTAAGCCTTCTAGCAAAGCCGAGCTAAGGAAAGGTTTAGAAAACATAAAAGAAGTTCGGTTCTCTTTATGACCGAGCTCATCAATCTGTTCAACTAAGCAAGGAAAGAGCTCAGCTTGTACCAAGTCGAGCCTATTAAAGTGTTCGGGAAAGTGATCGAAGAGAATGGTTTGTGTCAAACCAAGTCCCTTAATCTATTTGGCAAATATCAAGTATGCTCGGTATTCGATATGTCCGAGCTATTTTAAATAATAAACAGAAGGCTAAAGATTTGCCTATAACTTAGGCAGTCAGATAAACGAATCAGAGAAATTGAAGATATCAGGAGAAAATAATGGAGAAATATCAGCAATTTCCCAAACCGAATCACTAAATTGAAGGAAGGTGTGCCACCTTGAATCAAAAATCACGGAAACCCTAAGGGGATGATCATCTATAAAAAATGGGAGAATCCAAGGTGAAAGATACGCTGAACTCTCTTGGTCTTCTTCCATTCGTTTCTTTATCTTTATTGACTTAAGCATCGGAGTGTCTTCGACCGAACCACTTCGATCTTGGGCAATTTGTTTGTTTTATAGGAAGAGGAAGACTGGAAGGTCAAGTTCAGAAACACATAAATATTTCAATTCTAGTAGGAGGTAATCTCGATTTTTTGCCTCTTACATTTGACGTCGTCTGTTGGAAGATTTTTATCTTTCGCAACAAGTAGCCACAATGTCTAGACTCAAAAGCGTAATTGGTTCACCGAGAGGCAGTTTTGCCTTGGGAGACTCTCATCCTACATCCATCCCTCTTGGTAGCAATACGCGATTGCAGGCAAGAGCAAGCCTATCTAGATCCCATGAAGGTGAAGAGATGTCCTCTGCCAGTTTCAGGCCCTCAAAGAATCAGAACCATCAAATTGAAGAACGTGGTGAGTCCCTCCATGCCGAGGGGGAAAACCACCCCCTAGTAAAGTTGGTTCAGTCCCTGCAGGATAGACTTGATGCTCATGTCAAGTTGTTCAAGAAGTATTATGCTAGGAAAAAAGATCTAATCAAAGAAAATGAAGAACTAAAAGCTAGGATAAAATAGATGACCAGGAAAGAGAAACGTGCGAGGAAAAGCCATTGGGAAAGTCCTGAAAGGAAACCCGACAGATACAGAAGCAACAATGAAGATTGTCACCAGCAGAAGAAACCTCGGGTTCAGGAGGAGGTTGCATGGAAACAGTACATTACCGAGGAACTCAACAACCACTTGAGGAGACCAGAACAGAGGTCGACTAGGGATCTAACCAGAAGAGCGACAGGAGAATATGGAGACGGCTCGAAGTCATCTCCATTTACAGTTTGGATCGAAAAAGGATGGATTCTGAGCAAATTCACCATCCCGAACTTCAGACTATATGACGAAAAGACCAACCCAGCCTTGCACATTAGACGTTACAGACAATTGATGACTATTCATCAAAAAAATGAGCCCTTACTCTGTACTATCTTCCCTAGCAATCTTGGGGAGTCAGCCACGAAGTGGTTTAACAGCCTACCGAAGGGAACGATCGACGGGTGATCTCAGTTAGCCGAATAGTTCACAGCTCAGTTCATAATGAGCAGCAAGTAGCCGAAGGATGTTGGAGCACTATTGACACTAAAAAAGAAGAATAACAAAAGCCTGCGAGAGTACGCTCATCGTTATTGGGAAAATATGAATGAGGTTGAAAGGTGCAATCCAGAGATTGTCGTTGTATCCTTCAAGATGGGGTTGCCGAAGGAGAACCCTCTATATCAGTCGCTCACAAGAAGGCCAACCACGGATCTAGAAAAGCTAATGTCTAGAATTGAAAAGTATGCCAAAGTCGATGACGACTTATCTAGGGACGGGGTTAAAGAACATCCGAGTAAAAGACAGTTCGATAGAGACAAGTAGACGGAGTCAAACAGAGAGGGAGGAAGGAAGAATGAGAATGATGGATATCCTCTAAAGTCTGCATTTCTGGGGGTAAATACATTGTTCAAGGAACCAATTTACAAGATGCTAAGCCATATCAAGACAAATCCATTTTTCAAATGACCGAACAAGTTAATAGGAGATCCTTCTAAAAGGAATCCAAACTTCAGGTGTTCATATCACAGGGATGTAGACCATATGACTGAGAACTGCCGATCTCTAAAGCAACATTTGGAGGAGCTGGTCCAGGTTGGACATCTCGCCAAGTTCATAGAAGGTAAATAAAAATCCGATGGAGGGAGGACCGAGCCGAATGGGGACCACAACACTCCAGCAGGAATGATTGATCTGATTCATGCTGCCACCAACCCGCAGATGTCCACAAATAATTCTGCTTGGGCTTATATCTAGAAAGTTGCCAATAAGAGAGAGGTGTATGAGTTACGGTTGACCCCGGAGGTGACCAACAAAAGAATCAAGATAGAGAAGTCAGCTGAAGCAATCTGTTTCACCAAGCAACACTTAGTCGGAGTACACCAACCACACAATGACGCCCTAGTTGTTATGCTTTGGATTGCGAATTTTGATGTGAAAAGGGTTCTAATTGATCTAGCAAGTTCATCAGAGATCATGTATTCAGATTTATTCGAGAAACTTGGACTTAAGAAGGAAGATCTTAAGCCTTCAAATACTTCACTTATTGGCTTTAGTAAAAAAATAGTTCTTCCTAAGGGGAAGATCACATTGCCTGTAAAGACAGGGCCAATTTGCATCATGACCGAGTTCCTGGTGGTGGATACAATCTCAACATATAACGCGATAATGGGGCGGTCTTGGCTACACGCAATGAAAGCAGTACCCTCGACGTACCATCAGATTCTAAGGTTCCCTTGAGCTGAAGGAGTAGTCAATATCCGAGGAGACCAAGTCAGTGCTTGAACTTGTTTGTTAGTCTCGATCAAACCCAAAGGAGGGGTTGAAGCACGCGAGAACAACTCAATGTCTGAGGAGGCGAAATAGCAATTAACCATTTACAGCTTGGTTAAACTAACCGATCAAGCTGTCGAGAAGGCCCTAAAGTACCTTTAGGCGCCGAAAAGGAAGTTACAGACTGAACAATTGAAGACTTGACTAAAGTATCTTTAGACAAGGATGGTGATCCTAAAAAGTACTTTTTGTTAGGGACTGCTCTGAGTCCCAAGCATAAAGCCGAGCTCGTCACTCTTTTAAGAGAATATGCCAACGTTTTTGCATGGACCACTGCTGATATGCCCGGCGTATCGTCCGAGGTAGCATGTCATCAGTTGAATGTCAACCTGAGCTTCAGGCCAATCACACAAAAACTAAGGAGGTTGGAACCTCAACATCAGGAAGCAGTAAAAGAAGTAGTACATTTATTGGAGTCCTGAACAATTAGGGAAGTACAATACCCAACCTGGCTGTCAAACATTGTCGTGTAAAGAAGAAAAAAGGGAAGTGGAGGGTCTATATTGACTTTACCGACCTAAACAAAGCATGTCCAAAGGATAGCTTCCCCTTGTCGAAAATAGATCAGTTGGTAGATGCCACTGCTGGACACGAGTAGATGAGCTTCCTGGACGTCTACAGGGATAGGCAGTACAATAGAAGTTTACATATATGACATGGTGGTGAAGAGTCAGAAGGCAATAACCATTGTGCCGACCTCAAAAGCACATTTGATGTTCTACAAATGTACAACATGAAATTAAATGCTTCAAAATGCACGTTTGGGGTCGGCTCGGGAAAATTCTTGGGATTTCTGGTTACTCATCGAGGAATAAAGGTGAATCCTGAGCAAGTAAAGGCCATTACCAAGCTGTAATCCTCTCGAACTATAAAAGAGGTGCAGAGGCTAATAGGAATGGTAGCAGCACTTGGAAGGTTCATATCCCGCGCATATGATAAGTGTAGACCCTTCTTTCAGTCAATCAAAGGAAAAATGGGAGCATTCTGGAGTCAGGAATATGAGGAAGTATTTACAAATCTAAAGGCATACTTAGCATCTCCACCGATTCTATCGACCCTAACACCTGAAGAAGGACTTTACCTTTATCTGGCTGTATCAGAACACGTTGTAAGTGGAGCATTGATGAGGAATGATTGTGGAAAGATGAAACCCATCTTCTATATGAGCAAAATGCTCTTGGATTCAGAATCGAGGTATACTCTGCTGGAAAAACTTGCCCTAGCACTGATTAGCTCGACTAGGAAGCTTAAACATTACTTCCAAGCCCACCAAATCACAGTGCTCACTGATCAACCACTAAAGTCACTCTTCCATAAAGTCAATTTGTCGGAAAATGTTACTAAATGGGCAGTGGAGCTAGGGGAGTTCAATGTTTGATTCGAACCTAGAAAGACGATAAAGGGCTAGGTTGTGGCAGACTTTATCGCAGAATTTCAACCTAAGGATAGCTCAGCACAGAGTGAAGAGACTACTTGCAACCGAGAGTCAGAGCTCGGCAACGGTTGGACCCTATCTGTCGATGGATCCTCAAATCATAAGGGTGTTGGCATTGGAGTTGTTCTAGTAAGTCCAAACAGATGTACTTTGGAGAAAGCCATCAGGCTCAAATTTGAAGCCTCAAACAATGAAGCGGAGTACGAAGCCTTGATAGTTGGTGTAAGGTTGGCAGCCGAGCTAGGGGCAATAAAGCTCCAAATATTCTCCGATTCAC